TGTAATGTAGGGAGTCTGGGTGGATTTAAAAAAAAAAAAAATTGTGTGTGTGAGAATGTCTAAGTGTGTAAGATTGTGTCTGTGGTTGTGTATGTATGTCAGTGTTTTTGAGGGCAAGTTCACACTAGTACCATGCTATTAACACATGGTACCATGCAATCGCACCTATCGTGCATTCTGGTGTGGGAGGTCATTTGAAGGGTAACCCAAATGCACCTCCCACCCACAGTTGGTATGCCCGCGCGTTCCATTGCAGTGGGACTTGGGTCATGACTTAATGACCAAGGACAAATGTGGGTCCTGGAGTGACTCAGGTTGAGAACCACTGATTTAGAGGATAGGTTAAAATCCAACTCTGGGCTTTCTTTTGAGTGCTATTTTTACATCCGTCCAGGTATGTTCAATATTATAAAGAGCACAATAGCCTATAGCTGCCAATCAGCAATCAATTTTCAGTGACTTGGCTTCAATAAACACAAATCTGACTGGCAGCTACTTAGAACTCTGATGTCTTATTGGCAACACATCTAATCCTCTTAGACATGTGCACTGGCAAAAAATGTGTTTAGTTTAGTTTTGTTTTGATTCAGATTTTGTGTTATTTCGTTTTTTGGGATTCGGGTGTGAAAGTCAATTCGGACAAAATTAGTTAGCGGTAGTTTGTTCGAACGTTCGTTTCGTTTTCGTTTAATTCATTCGTTCGTTCGTTGCAGCAAAGTGACATTTGAGGGGGAAATTTTTTTTTCTCCTTCTCTAATGTCACTTTGCTGCAACGAACGAAACAAATAAGTAACGAAAACGAAACAAACGTACGTGCGAATGAACTAACGCTAATGAATTTCGGAAACGAAAATTCAGATTCGTTTGCATTCGTTATCTGTAATTCGGAATTCGGATACATCCGAATGTCCGAATTTCTGAAAATTCGTCCGAATTTCGTTTCGGAATTCTAGATATATATTCTAGATATAAATTAGCTATGAGGACACTGAAGTACACTAGAAAAGGTGAGAAAATCATAGCCAATGTACAGTAGGAATTGAAGAAAGTCCTATCTAAGGCACAAACCATATAACTTCTGGCCTTTTAGTAGAAGTAGGTAATGACTAGGCAGATGCCCAACAATGTAAAGGGTATATATCCCCTGCACTTCGTTATCTTTCACCAAGTTATCATTACTGCTCAATGAAGTTGTTCTTATGTAAGTCTATTAGTGAGGCTCACTACCATTAGCTATCATGGCGTGTGGCTTATACGCTATAATAGGTTGGGGACTGGAGATGAACAAATGACAATTTGCTGCAGGTCAACTGTACTGATAGAACCAGATGCTTCCCAAATGAGCATGATTTCTTCTACATACTGTATATTAGTGTAGAATTAAAGTGACGATAAACTCTGGAGTTAAACCTTAAAAATAAATTCAAGTACCTTAACTATGAACAAAAATGTATCTTATTTGTGTATCACTCGGCTGTAGATCCTCAAATCATCTCTGAATTGGTGCTGACACTGTCCTTCCTTCTGGAGGGGGGCTACTTTTGTTCCCCATGGTCCCTGTGTGTGTTGTAAAGTAGTCACCGCTCCAAGCTCACTCCCGGGATGGACTACAATCTCAATACAAATTAGTAAACTAAACCTGAGATTGTAGTCCATCGTAGGAGCGAGCTTGGAGCGGTGATTACTTTACAACACAAGTACAACAAAAGTAGCCCCCCTCCAGAAGGAAGGACAGTGTCAGCACCAATTCAGAGATGATTTGCGGATCTACAGCCGAGTGATACACTAATAAGATACATTTTTGTTAATAGTTAAGGTACCTGAATGTATTTTTAAGATTTTATGTCTGAGTTTAATGTCTCTTTGATGGTTTAGAAGGGAATGGTGATGTTCGTGAATCTGACTTTCTCAGAGAACTGGTTTATGAACATGAAAGATACTTAAACAGCTTTGTCAGCTTTATAATTTTATCTATCAGGAACTGATTATAGTGAAACTTTTTCCAAAACATGTTTTTTAAATTTTGGATAGCATTGGAAAGACTTTAATTGGGGTAGTTCTGGGGGAGCGTTTCCAAATGTTATAAGCCAGTGGATATCTCCCCAAGAGGAAGTCTGATAGCAATAAAAACCTAATTGTTTAACTCTTCTTCCAAAACTTCTAAAGATTTTGGCTGGAGCATGACTTTAACCAATAATCTTCATTGCTTTGATGTTGGCACACACATTATTTGAGTGATACCATTGCAGTTAGAATAAGTAATTCAATATAGGACACATACTGCGAGCTTAAACATTTCATAAACATGGGAATAAAGACCACGCAACCAACATATACAGCAACATTACATAGTATAAAAAAGTTATGTGCAAAATGTCCCCAGTGATAAGTTTGGAAACCAAATCTCAAAATCAAACTGTGACTAAGAGAACCTAAAAAAAAAAATCTGGCATCACCAAGCAAAACTGCTAAACCCAACCAACAGCAGAACCCATTTATGTGACTACATTCCCCAAAACCACCACCTTATTATTTATATCAACATCAGTAGTCAGCGAAGAGATGTTGGACCCAACAATAAGGCTAGAGGTGACTTCCTGAGTAATATCTGAGAATCAGTACTTGGGAATGTTAAGTTCTAACTCAATGAGGTTTTAGGTATTAGATATATTCTCAATTATATACTGGTGTTTTCCACCCTTCACAATGATGTGGTTAACTCTTTCTAGTACGTTGTCTATAAATGTAGGTGGTATACAGGGTACATTCTCCTCCAGTCCTTGTTCAGATATATCATTTTTTTTCTGTTGAAGTCACATGAAGTTGGTTTCACTGTTGGTTGTTTAAACCAATTCCCATACAAGAAAATGACCTTTGCCACAAAAGGATCAACTGCAACTGAATACTTTTTGGACAAAAAGGCCGGCTACATTTCAATCACAAATTGTACCCAGCAATACCAAAATCAGACATTACACAATCGGTTATTCAGCCAACTGAATGAGGAATGATACACCCAATAAAATACTATATTAACCAAAAAGTAATATTACAACTGGTTGGGAATTGCATACATTTCATGGCTCAGGAAGATTCCCGCATACAGCACTTCCACCATAAACCCTGTTTTTCCCTCTCACGTTTAGGACATTAGCAGGGTACTCAACTCGGATATCACACTGGGAAGAATTCACCTTGCTTCCTGTCCAAATTTGTGAACCAATTTCTGAACCGTAAGTCATAAATGAGGTCAACAGAAATCCAGACAAGGCACCAAAAAAGGTCTGCTTTACAGGTCAGCAAAGAAGGTAACAATTTACAGATTTGTTTGGGAAGCTCCTGGCAGCCTTGTTTGATAACGTGATGGTGCTAAAAACAGTAGACATGTAAGCGGCGGGAAAAATTAGTTTGGTTCGGATATTTCATTTTTTTCAGGATCCGAAATTCAATTTGGTTCGGGTTTCAGATTCGGACGAAATCTGAATTTCCGTTAGTTTCGGATGAGTTTATAAATATTCTTTGCGAATCCCACAGAAAACCATACACAGACATTAATACTAAAGCTGAATCTCCTAGACCCGAATGGCATTCCAGATCCAAATTTCCGGATTGAATGCGGGAGCCATTTGGGTCTGGGAGCCATATACATATATTACTAAAGCTGAGGCTCCCAGACCCAAATGGCATTCAGGAGCTCCTGAATGCAATTCTGAAATTCCCGAATGCCATTCGGGTCTAGGAGATTCAGCTTTAGTATTAATATCTGTATATGGTTTTCTGTATATATCTGTATATGGTATGGTATTAATATCTGTATATGACTCCCAGACCCGAATGGCATTCAGGAGCTCCCGAATGCAATTCGGAAATATGGATCCTGAATGCCATTTGGGTCTAGGAGCCTCAGCTTTAGAATTTTATGTATATACTGTATATGGCTCCCATGTTGCCATAACAAAAATTTGTATTCGGACCCATTCGGATGCATTAACCGGAAAAACACATCTGATTGGCCAGAAAAGTCACATGTCCGATTCAGTTTGTTTTTTTTTTGAACGAAATTTGGACAGGATTCAAAATTCAGAAACAGAAATTTGGATTTGGACACATTCGGATGGGATTTGGAAATTAGGATATATCAGGATGTCCGAATTTCGGAAAATGAGTCCGAATTTTGATTCGGATCGAATCACACATGTCTAAAAAACAGACTGAGCTATTTCCTTTAAACATTCTACCAGGGATAGTAAGATAGAAGGGGTGGTCCCGTGTGTCACTGGCGGTCAGGGTAAAGTGGGCAATCACGATAAGAGGTGAGGGAAAATCTCCCCATTTGGCATAGTCTACAGATGTCCCATCCCGTCCTCACTGTGTAAGTTTTACAATGTTTTCTCCATATTTCAGCTTTAAAGTGACATTAAACCCTCAGATTTTTTAACATAAAACAATACTGTAATGTGCGCCTTACTGTTATCCATGGTAGTTTCCCTTCTCTTTGCTGCTCTTCCTTTTAAATCCTTATCTCTTCTCATGCTGGGCAGAACTTCTGTTTTGCAGCAGACTGCCTTGTCTCTGAAATGGATACATGGTGTCTGTGTGTAGGTTTGCAACCTGAGCCAGCACTACAGTAAGAGGCTCTCAGCTGCAAAGGGAAGTTCTCCCCCAGCATGAGAAGAGATAAGGATTTAAAAGGAAGAGCAGCAAAGAGAAGGGAAACTACCATGGATGACAGTAAGGCACACATTACAGTATTGGTTTATGTTAAAAAATCTGAGGGTTTAATGTCACTTTAATGTTATAGAGAACAGCTAGGTAGACCATAGTTCCCATTTTGTCTCAAAGCTAGGAACCTCAAAGCATTTTTTTTGCCAAAGCTCCAGAGACATTATAGAACTTAACATTCTTTTTTTAAAAACAAAAATATCACTTTGGCCTTTCACTTGTCCAAACTCAACCTTGCACTTCTGTCAAGTTACAGATGCAGTAAGACCTATAACAGATCACTTACCGTTTTCTGTGTGCTCATGCTCGGTGTCTGTGAGGGTCAGGTTGGAGTTGGCTCTGCTAGATAGACAAGAGCTTCGGCCAGACTTGCTCTTCACTGCCCAGAGTCTCACTGGCTGTTCCGGAGATAACACTCCATCTGCTTCGTTGTCTGCATCGTTGTCACCGGTCATTGAATAGCAATGCGGCAAGCTAATATCAGTCCGGTACAGTGTCCCGTGAGGAGGAGTAACTTCACCAAGACCCAGTTCATGTAAAGTGAAGCTGCCACCTACAACACAGAAACATGACAGTATTATTAATACGTTGAGGGTACAGTTCACACCAATCAGTTCTAGAGTGATATGATTTAAAGAATCCTGCCTCCTGCAGTTTTTCTGCAATTTCCAGCAATTTCCCATAGGTATTAGGATGTTAAATGTATTAAATTGCACCACCAAATGAAAAATTATATAGCAGCACTACAGTGAATAAACAAAATGTACTCTCAGTGATTCCACTGGTTTATAGTAAAAGGATGGACTGCATTCTCAGTAATGTCACCGGTCTCCAGTGAATGGATAGGCTGCATTCTCAGTGATGTCACCGGTCTCTACTGAATGGATAGGATGCATTCTCAGTGATGTCACCGGTCTCTAGTGAATGGATAGGCTGCATTCTCCGTAATGTGACTGATCTCTATTGAAGGGATAGGCTGCATTCTCAGCAATGTCACCGGTCTCTAGTGAATGGATAGGCTGCAATCTCAGCGATGTCACCGCTCTCTAGTGAATGGATAGGCTGCAATCTCAGCGATGTCACCGCTCTCTAGTGAATGGATAGGCTGCAATCTCAGCGATGTCACCGCTCTCTAGTGAATGGATAGGCTGCAATCTCAGCGATGTCACCGCTCTCTAGTGAATGGATAGGCTGCAATCTCAGCGATGTCACCGCTCTCTAGTGAATGGATAGGCTGCAATCTCAGCGATGTCACCGCTCTCTAGTGAATGGATAGGCTGCAATCTCAGCGATGTCACCGCTCTCTAGTGAATGGATAGGCTGCAATCTCAGCGATGTCACCGCTCTCTAGTGAATGGATAGACTGCATTCTCAGTGATGTCACTGGTCCCTAGTGAATGGATAGGCTGCAATCTCAGCGATGTCACCGGTCTTTAGTGAATGGATAGGCTGCATTCTCAGTGATGTCACCGGTCTCTAGTGAATGGGTAGGCTGCATTCTCACTGATGTCACCGGTCTCTAGTGCAGGGGTAGCCAAACTCCGGCCCTCCAGCTGTGGTGGAACTACAAATCCCATGAAGCATTGCAAGATTCACACAGCCACAGACATGACTCCCGGAGAGATATGCATCATGGGATTTGTAGTTTCACCACAGCTGGAGGGTCGGAGTTTGGCTACCCCTGCTCTAGTGAATGGATAGACTGCATTCTCAGTGATGTCACTGGTCCCTAGTGAATGGATAGGCTGCAATCTCAGCGATGTCACCGGTCTTTAGTGAATGGATAGGCTGCATTCTCAGTGATGTCACCGGTCTCTAGTGAATGGATAGGCTGCATTCTCAGCGATGTCACCGCTCTCTAGTGAATGGATAGGCTGCATTCTCAGTGATGTCACTGGTCCCTAGTGAATGGATAGGCTGCATTCTCAGTGATGTCACCGGTCCCTAGTGAATGTATAGTCTGCATTCTCAGTGATGCCAATGGTCTCTAGTGAATGGTTAAGCTATGTTCTCATTGGTGTCTGTGATCTCCCAGAGACCTTATACATCTTCTGTTCATCTAATCTGATAACATGGGGCAGATATTGATGTGTAGCACCCAATTCCATGTAGCTTATCTTAGGTAACAGCACACACATTACTCTGCAATCATTTTGGTTTTAATAGGCTAAAATGTGCGAACCCCATTTTGAAGTTGAGATGTCTGGAACAAGGTTTGGGAGCCAGAAGATCAGATGTCTCATGAAGGTTTCCCAAAGCTGGAACATCTAACTGGTTCAATCACATCTTGCACTTCACACCTTTTTTAATTAAGCCGGGCAGGTTGTGTTTCCTGACAAGCATGACAGGCAGAGAAATTTAGGCTTTCACACCTCCTTACTTCAGGAGCCAAGCCTCGTACTACAAAGCTGCCAGTGATAATTGCACCTAGACAAAAAGCTCTTTGCTTTGACAAAACGCTGCACTGCTCAGCTTCAAATGCTCGCCGAAGGTTTTAAAGATTAATCAACTTGATTTACAGAGCAGCGGTAATTTGCACTGTTTCTTTCAACGGCGGGTCTTTTTCATTTTTAATTTTTTTTTGTCTGGCAGGGGTGCCAGAGATGAATGTGGTGATGGATTTCAGAATAAACTCAGCGGCATTTTTTTTTCCTGGTATGTTCACACTAATAAGCTTTTCATTTTGGGGGTGTTAAAGCGGAGAGTTCAAAGTCATTTCTCTTAGAGGCCTGCTCCTTAGCCAAAACAAAACGGGGATTATTTTGCAGAGACTGGAGCGGCGGTGTTGTGGCGTAACTACGTCAGGTGCGAGGATCACAGATTCTCCCAGGCTACAAAGAGCTGGGTTTGGGCTTTCATCCAAACTGCTTAGGGTTGGGGGGAGAGTCTGCACATCATTCTTGATTTGCAGACATTTCCAAGGACTCCTCTATGACCTCAATGGATGTAAACTTGACAATGTTTATAAAATGGCGGAATCAGAATGGATTATTGAAAACTAGGTCATGTCTAACATGAATGACTTTTACGAGCACGTAAGTTCTAATATGTGCTATAGGAACCTTACTGATGTCATATATTTGGGTTTTACAAACACATTTTAGGCTTATTTTGCAAATTGGGAGAGAGGAAAAGCTCTTCTCACTTATGACTTTTCATTCCTTCCTCTGCTGATTGGAAGTGGGTCTCATTTAGAAGGCTCATTAGCTTTCTAAAAATTGTCATGGTTGTCTTTGGTGAAGTTTTAGCACCAAAGGGTTTGTCAAACAGACTTCTGGCACAGTTAACAATCCTGAAAAATTAAAGCAGAACGACAGAATAAAAAATAATAGCTCATTAAAAGATCAACGTTGTCTTCAGGTGGAGAAACAGGGTCTTCAGGTGGAGAAACATGGTCTTCTGGTGGAGAAACATGGTCTTCTGATGGAGAAATGTGGTCTCCTGGTGGAGAAGAGAAAGAACCCGTGACTTTATCAGACCGGCCAGAAGACCCTCAGAAAGAAGGTATGTATATGTGTATGGAGGGCTGTGGGGTGTTGGATTTATAAATACTAGACATCTGGTTGTACAAAAAGGTAATGGCCACTTATGGACCTTTATCTTTCAGTAGTATTAAACTCTCAAACTTGCTTTCAATAATTAATCCAGATCAAATAAATAGACATTGCCCAACAAAGTATTTTTTTTGCATGTTTGCCCAAGCACTTACAGCCATCAGGTTTCCAAACAGCCTAAACTCTCTCAGCTTGCCTTTCCTGAACTTCCTATCTGGTACAAGATCATAAGGGACCGAGCAGTCTATAGCACCCATCCATTTACTAATTACTAATTTACTAGCTTGGAGAAGGAAGGGGGGGAGAAGAGGGGAGCTATTTCCCCTACTGTTTCTGTATGTTTGTGGAGACACACGGCTTACTAGCACACACAGGGGTGGCTCTGTAGGACCTG